ACTCTTCTCAGAGAGAGTAAATACCAAAGAACTCAAATGCCATCATTCTGAAAACCAGACTTGAAGTGATCAATGTAAGAATCTGCATGTGACAGCAAAAGAAATAACCCTGAAATCAGATAACCATTATGAGGAATTTAAGAACTTTCAATATATATTTGCACTATTCTATGGTGGATAGATGTCCACAGCTTTCAATTTAAACTACTTGCAGAGCTCGTTCAAATATCTTAACTTGTGACCATAGTGGGCAAAATCACTGAACTAAAGCCAAGCAATGAACACCACCCCGGATAGTTTTCCTCCTTTCTTCATTCCCCAAATCTTGATGAGCCCAGTGCTAAATACCATCAGACTATTACCAAGTGTGGAGCAAACTGCACATGTCAAAAGGATCTCATCTAGTTCTTCTGTGAACACAGACAGCTTCCTCTTGATCTCTCTACAGAAGTGCAACTTTAAGTAAAGAAAAAACAGCTTACAAATGGAAACTAGCACCTTGCAGTAACAGCATCATCTTTGGGTTCCGTTTAATGCTACCATTTTGGAAAATTATTAAAATAGTGCATAAACTTTTAATAGAAGAAAGAATGTTATGGGACCCACTTCCCCTGACAGTAGTACTTCCATAGCTATAAGGTCATATAATAGTTTTACTGTTTTTTGTTTTTTTTACATTACTTCAAAACAATTGCCATTAGACATGTTTGCCTAACCAGGCCAAAAAAAAAAAAAAAAAAATCCATAGACAAACACACCAGGTTAAGCCAGGGACATTGAAAACTGTATTTTGAGTAGCAGCATGTAGAGAACCTCTCACTAGCCTGTCATAAAAAGCCCCAATAAGAAAATACCACGAGAGTGAGTAATGATGGCAGCAGAAATCCAACAAATAATTTCAAGAAGAATACTGAGGAGAAAAAAAGTAAGGAGAGTTGTCAACATAAATGAAAACAAGTAGGAAGCAATGGAAGCAAGGGAGAAAGAAAAGACCTAAATAAAGAGGAGATAGGGGTTCAGAGAGTGAGAGAAAGAGAGAGAGACTGCCCAGTAATGACCAAATAGTCCTAAGAGGAAAAATACTTCTCTTCTGTGGGACTTGAGAAGCATAGGCAGAGAAGAACAGAAGAACAGCCAAAGCTTGTGGTGCCTTTGAAGAAGACAGAAAGAGGTGATGTACATCTCAAATAATCCATTAAATGGCATTGACTAATGACTAATAGAGCTAATAGAAAAATGTCTCCAAACTGAATGAAATACCAGTCAGTCTGTGACAATTATTAACGTTCAACTGTCACAACCAGTCCTTCACCCCAGAATTATCACTTTGCCAATAAATGCTGAGGGGAAAAATAGTTTCAGATCTTTTCAATAACTGATTGTTACGTACACTAATTACAGTTTCCTATCCTAGAGCTATTGTCCAACATGTTCAGCATTTCCAGACAGAAAATGATAATACTGAAGCTCAAGTACAATAGTACAGTATGTTTGCTGGCAATATTTCTAATTAAATTACACCGGCAGCTTAGCTGTTGAATGCAAAGTATTTCAGCTAAAAGCTTTCTAAGATTACTGTCTGCAAGCAGATGTTCCAGTGACCTCAACAGGTAATAAAAGAACAGATTCCACATCATTGTAAGTGTGTTCATAAATATTTACTTCCAGATCTTTACTTTTTGGACCTTTTTTCTGAAAATGAAAAGCTAATGCTGAGCATCTTGCTTACATACTGGACCATAGAAAGATACATGTCTATCACAAAACAGTTATGATGCCTCATTAAGGGAATACATCATGCATGACTGCATGGAAGAATTAGACTACAAATATTCAACAGTTGCCAAATGATCTTGGAGACTAAATGCTTATTTTTAAAATACTTTCCTAGTCAAATATATTAAATTTGGGAAAACATGCGGTTAAGGAAGCATTTAAAACAAATGGAAAACATATGCTAGTTGAAAACAGTCAGCATTTGTGTAAAAATATTTAGTATAATATTGCTAAACAGAAGATAACTAAATAGGGCAGTTGTTTTGTTGATGCATGTGGGTGCATCTACACTGCAGGGCTTAACTCGAAATAAGCTACGCAAATTGAGCTATGTCAATTGCATAGCTTATTTCAAAATAGGGAGCGACTACACAGACTTATTTTGAAATAGAGCACTCTTCCTCTGACTTCCTTTACTCCTCATACAGTGAGGGTTACAGGAGTTGGAGCACGAAGTCCTCTAGCTTGAAAGTATTTTGACACTATTCCGAAATAACTACCTGCTGTGTAGACATGGACTAAGTTATTTTGAATTAGTGCTAATTATTTTCAAAATAGTGTTGCAATACAGACGAACCCTGTAGTAGCCTGTATTACAGTCGCATAATTTTTTTTTCAATCAAATTGATATTTTGAAGATTCAGATTGCAAAACGTAAACCTAGAGAAATGTGAACACCTTTTTCATGTAACACAGATCTTGATCCTACTGTTCCTATTCAGGTAAAATTTCCATGACTTTTAGTAGGAGGAGCTATAGTAATAATACCACCACGTAGCTCTTAAATGCTTCTCATTGGTAGATCTCAAAGCATGTTACAACAGGAGATTAGTATTGTTATCCCTCATTTTACACAGAAATTGATAGCAATGGGAATTTCATTTGGGGAAGGCCTACAGCATCAGTTTAAGAATTGTATATATATATATATATATATACACACACACACACACACACACTACAGGACAATATTTCTGAACAACAGATTGTTCCTGTTGGAAAAGTAAATTAAAAACTCTTCCTTTCTGACAATTAGAAAGTGACATGTTTCACTGGAGCAAACTTGATCATATAATTAAAAAAAATCCAATTTCTCATAGCACCCCATTGTTTAGATGCAGTTGGCATTTGTACTCTTTTCTAATTCAAGTAAATATATAAAATTCTTCAATTAGAATTCTACTCAAGATGCAAGCTGCCCAGGAGAAACATTTTAATTATTCAAATCTAGAAAAGGAGAACAACTAAGAAAATAAATATTTTAATGATGTGCTGTCTGCAACCACCTAGTACAGATAAAGTAATCATATCTCAGATTAGAGGAAAAGCACAGGGGAATTCATATATATCTCCCCCACAGTATGAATAAAAGAATGTCTTTTGGAGAAAGCTTGTATGGATCCAACAAAACTACTGACTGTAATAATTAGTACCATGAGTACACCTAGTACATAGCCAATTTTTACCTCTAAAATAGCTACCACAATTTTAGAGGTGAAAACCAGACTACATATAATGGGATACTGTATCAGATCCAAAATAGGGATGTTAAAGTTTTAAGCAGCATCTCATGGTGAACTCCACTCGCAGCCAGTTAGGCTGGGCCAGAGAAGTCCTGGCTTGTTAGGGGCCAATAGGCAGGGCAGCAGGACTCTGCAGTGGGACCCCATGCCCATGGTGACAGGTGTTGTGTGAAATTGTTAGCCAGTTAAATGCTAGCATTCAACAGCATCACAGTTTTAACATCGCTAATCCAAAACAAGTGACAGGGAACATAGGTAAAGCTCGTGCTACCAATCTTGATTTGAATGAGAATAGAGATTCAGGCCCCAAGCTTCTTTCACAATGAAATTCTCATTTAAAGCCTTACCTTGCACCATTGAAATCAGTCAATGCTCTGGCATGCCCGCCCTAGCACAAAACATGGAGGCCAAAATCTCATCTCAAACTACTGTAGTAAATTTTCAAATGCAGGTGACGTAAATTTTCTCAAGACCCAGTATTTTAAAATTGGTCATTTGAGTGTAAAGTCAGTCACTTAAAATAAACACAGGCTTAATCTACATTCTCAATATTTTAATAATCATCAAGTTTAAAAAGTGTTATGATAGATCCTTGGGAAGAAAAATAAAATATAGCCTGCATAAGTAAACACCTGGGCTGTGTCTACATTGGCATCCCTTTCTGGAAAAGGGATGCTAATGAGACACATTGCAATTGCAAATGCCGCAGGGGATATTTAAATTGCCCGCAGATATTTAAATTGCCGGCTGCTGCTTTTTTCCGGCTTGGGAATAAGCCGGAGAAAAGCGCCAATCTAGACGAGATTCTCCGGAAAATAAGCCCTTTTCCGGAGGATTTCTCATTCCTACTTGAAAGTATGAATAAGAGATCCTCCAGAAAAGGGCTTATTTTCCAGAGAATGACGTCTAGACTGGCGCTTTTCTCCGGCTTATCCCCAAGCCGGAAAAAAGTGGCAGCCATGTAAATGCAAATGCCGCAGGGGATATTTAAATCCCCCGCGGATTTGCAATTGCGATGTGTCTCATTAGCATCCCTTTTCCGGAAAGGGATGCCAATGTAGACACAGCCCTGGATTTTCAAATGAGGTTACTATTGGAAAAATGTGGGGAGGCAGGGAATTAAAATGAATATAGTAAGGATTTTTTTTCTAATCCTAATTTCTGTAATATAAATTATATTGCTCAAAAATATCTGCACTCAATTTCTCCACCATGAAGAGGGTCTTATCTACCAATTAAACTAACATCAATAAGTTCATGTAGTTTGAATTCTGAGAAACGATAGTGGAACACTGCACATAAAATAACAAGGAGTCCTGTGGCATCTTACAGAATAACAAATTTATTTAGGCATACATTTTGATGGGCTGGAACTCATTTTGTCAAAGTAGATCCCAGACAATGTACCCTCTAGTCTTCTCCATCCATGTGTAGAACAAAACAAAACAAAAATTGGGGGGACTCTGTTAAATCACCTGGGCAGCATCTGAATCTCTTCTGAGTGACCACACAGTTTATAGGGAACACTGGTTCCAATCCATGAAAGCTTATGCCCAAATTAATGTGTTAGTCTTTAAGGGGTCACAAGACTCCTCATTGTTTTTGCTGAAACAGACTAATACAACTACCCCTCTGAAACCAGCATTCAAGCCATAAGAGATGAATCAACAATAAATATTAAAATATAAAAGCTACACTTACTCCAATGCATGGTACGTAGTCTTGATTCAATTCACCACCACCTGAAAAAATAAATTAATACAGAAAATAACGCATACTGAGTTTTATGATTATTTGTGTGTGTTACATCATTTTTACCTGCGGGGTAGAATGAGTAGAGCTATTTGCAAGTGCAAAACAGAATATAATCTACAATTATTACAACAACATGAAACAGTTAGGGTACCTGCAGGTTAGCAATTCAAACTGTACCAGAAAATAAGAAATATTACAATGACAAGTAGACAGTTAAATGAGCACACATGGAATACCTACTGTGCTGCCAATGAAGGCGGATGAGACTATATCATAGAGGACTTATTATGTACAGGTATCCAAATGTCTGTCTATGAAGTTGAAAACTAAAGTATTACAAGGACCAGATTTCTACATCCTTCATTTTTACTCAGGGCAAGTCTTGGATGGAAATTGCCTTGAGTCAAGATAGTTATTCCTTGGAGGAGGAGTAAACCCAGGAAAAAGGGGGGAAGCAAGTTAGGAAGAAGCATTCATATGTTTTAAGAAAATACAACATTAAACTGAAATGCTGGAAATTAAATTTACACAAAGGTATGATGGGCTGAAGTTACCTAAGATGCAAAAAGTGGTTAGTATTCAGTGGAAATGTACATGAAAGTAGCCATACACACTAAATAAATACATCCAGAGATGACAAGAGTCAAGCATAAACAACTGAATGCAATCATCCCCTCCCCAGTTCAAAAACTACCCTTATTTTCCCTGCATTTCTCCTAATCCATATACGTTACCCTTATTATCCCTGCATTTCTCCTAATCCATATACGTTTTGGAATTATGAATGTAATTTTAAAAACCTACCATTTGAAGAGCAAAGGGTTAACTGAACAAAGTAACAAAATGTGTTTAAAAAAAGTAAGCGAGGCCAAGTACTTCACTGGATTTTTCCACCATATGATTCATATCTCCCTTCTACTTGAAATAATTCTCTCTTGAACAGCTCTCGGCAGTGGCATATGACTCTCAGATCGAGCACTCACTGCACTCAGTAGCTTACATTCAAGTTCAAGAATTCTACTTGTGGCTATATGAACTTAAGCTTTCAGCTGCTTGGACTTAACTGTGGACTGAACAAGCTCTTATCAGTTGCCAAGACATCCCAGTAAAACCCAGCTTCCTCCGCTGCACAAATATTCTCCGTCAGCCAAAACTCGCAGATCTTCACTGCTAGTGTTAGGAGGACTTTCAGTTGCTTGAGATCACAGCTCATAGCTGGGGAGGCCCAACACCCCAAAGCTTGGGTTAGGGGTCACTCTCCTGTCCACTTCCCAGAAGTTCCAGATATGCAGTTAGCCAATTGTTCCAGATTGCCATCTGCTCAAATTTTGGTTTAGGTGAAATGTGATGGCAGGGCGCACCCAATAGGACAAGGCCAAGAGGGACTGAAGTGTCTATAGAGGCCAATTAACTGCCCAGGTTGCATCTGAAGAAGGATACAAAGACCAGGCCATGAACTGGAAATGGGCTTAGCTGAGCAAAAATAAGAGAGGGCTATATAAATTCCAGAAGCTGTTAGCTGGTGGAGGCTTTTGGGAAGCAGTCTATAGTCACTCCTGGGGTGGGGTGGGGGGCAGGAGTTTGGGCTGGTAAACCCAGGAAAAGGGGAAAGCCAGATAGATAGGAAGGAACCTAGGGAAACCAAAGCAAGGGGTAGGATTGTATAGACTTGCTGCTTCTTATATGGTCCCTGATCTGGAACCCAGTGTAAATGGTAGGCCTAGATTCCCCTACCAGCCATTGGAAAGTGTCACAGAATAGTGGTGACACCAGACAGGCAGCTAGTCTGCAAGGTTTTTGAATTTCCTAGAAAGGGAGGACCTTAGTGACTTGGTCAAAGGACCAAGCCACAAAAAGGAAAGCGAGCACAGTGAAAAATATGGGCAGACATACCAGGTAAGCAAAGCAGTGCCCCACAAGAGCTACTACTCAGAGCCACGAGGAGGAGGTACCGCATGCAGTGAGTGGATCCCATGCCAGTAAATAACTGAACATATGGACACATTACGAAAAGTAGAAAGTAAAAGATGCAGAAACAATTTGAATGAAAGGATTTATAATATTTCTGTAATATACTAAGTATAGCATGCAGCTAGAGGACTAGCAAAAATAAGTTGCTTGATAAAAGGAGCTTTTGTATAACTTCGTGGTCTACTTAACCAAAAAAAAAGTGTTGAAAACAGTGTCCCAGAACAACGCTGTACCCATTGACAGTCATGCCAACAACAGTAAGTTTCACACACAATTAATGGAACAGACCAGCAGACATTAACTACTGAACTATGGGCTCCCACAGGGATCCATCTTTGTACCATTGCTTTTTAATATTTATATCAATGATATGTCATTAACCAAGTTACAGAAATTTGCATACATGGATGATCTTGCACTTATCATTGAAGCACTTATCATTTTCACTGAAGACATCCTCACAGATGATCTAAAAAACTGGAGTACTATTGGTCATGGCAACTTCGACCAAACCACCCTCCCCAGTTGTCTCAATTTTCTACCAGAGCAATCAAATTACAATGAGGTGCCTGAATATCACTTTCTGCAACATTACACTGAGCCACACAAATTTCCAGAAAGAGCTCAGAATGATTCTGGATCATAGCCTCACATACTGACAGCATCTGATGAGGAATGCTGCCGAGATAAAGTCTAGGAATAAAGTAACCCACACACTAGCCAAGACTAGTTGGGAAGCAGAGCTCACACCTCATGGGTAGCCACTGTAGGTCTTTATCTTCTCAGCAGCTGGATATTGTGTGCCAGGATGAACAGGTAGCATGCACGTGAAACCTCTCAATGAGCAACTGAACACTGCTATGAAAATTGTCAGACTGCTGACATCACAGACTGACTTTCTATCCTCATGCAGATCTTACCATAATGCCTCCAAAGAGAAGCAATAGGAAAATATGTCTCTATGACGATGAACTCAGACTTGCCCACTCATGAAAATCTCAAAAACACTGAGATTCCACCTTCAATCCAGGAACCTACTTCTGGTTAGCAGATGAAATTCTCATTGCTTTAGGATGGTCACCAAAAGACAAGTGTTGGAAGCCATGAAAAAACAGTGACACCAAGACTTGATGACAGATCCTAGGCTGTGTCTAGACTACATGCCTCTGTCGTCAGAGGCATGTAGATTAGACACATAGGCAAAGGTAAATGAAGCCGCGATTTAAATGATCGCGGCTTCATTTACATTTACATGGCTGCCGCGCTGAGCCGACAAACAGCCGATCAGCTGTTTGTCAGTTCTGGGCACTAGTCTGGACGCTCCCCTGTTGAAATGAAAGCCTTTTATCGACATCCCCTGTAAACCTCATCCTACAAGGCATAAGGGGGATGTCGATAAAAGGCTTTCAGGTCAGCGCGGTGCGTCCAGACTAGCGCGCGGAGCCGAGCTGTTTGTCGGCTCAGCGCGGCACCTATGTAAATTTAAATGAAGCCGTTTGTCGGCTCAGCGCGGCAGCCATGTAAATGTAAATGAAGCCGCGATCATTTAAATCGCGGCTTCATTTACCTTTGCCAAAACAACAAATCTACATGGCTCCGTCAACGGAGCCATGTAGTTTAGACGTACCCCTAGAGACCACCATCTGCTTGTTCTATGCTACAAAATATAGATTGTAGCAATCTGCATTTGAATCTCACCTAGAGTGTTGCAGTTACTTATTATACAAATGAAGAGGAACAGTCCAGTATGTAATCTTGTCATTAGAGAAGATATGCAAAGCATGGAACATCTAGTGAACTTCTAACTGATTCATTCAATGCCATCAAAAGCCATAGAGTGGGTGACAAATTTGGATGTTAACTATTAATGTTGCTTTTCAAGTTGCCATATGAAATAAAGAATGTTTATGCAAAATGTAGGTGGGTAGTACTTTAGAAATACTACAATCTAAGCACAGAGCACTTTTTACTCTTAACTTTTCAAGACAGCCAAAAACTAATAATTATTGGCCAAACTGAGCCCTAGCACAAGGCCCGGTATTAATGGAGTTGGACTTTCTGATATCACCAGCCTCACTCCCTGCACTGTATTTCATTGATTTTCAAACCCAAGTCTGGTACTTTGCTCTGAATATGGAAAACTTTGCTTGTTTATTTTTTTTTAAATGAAAGTTTGGGACAGAGAGGCTGGCAGGTATCCCTGGATGCATTATTTAATGTAATGGCACAATACTGAAGGAGAAAGAAACAAGGAATTGTATGTCTTTCAACTGTGTGTTGTATGCCTGCTCCTATTAAGTCTTTGGTAGACATCTCCCATTTAATTCCTTGGAAACAAGTTCAAGCTCTAAATTATTTCCTAGATTATTAAACAATTTTGCTGGCTGTAATTTCATTTGCAGAAATTATACGTTGCTGCTCTGTATTGAAATGTAATAGACACATTTTACAAATATCTATCACATGTAATTATACTTTATTTCTAGGGGACCGATTGACACTGTTTCAGACAGTGTTTGAAAGTCATCATAACTCCACTGCAGTCAAGAGATATATAGCATCTCAGAATCTATCCGTGGATGTTGAGAAGAATGCATATGACCAGAGATGGAAAAAAGAATGTACACGGAACAATTTATTCATAATGACTTTCATTCATTTAAAGAATCTGCAGTTAAATAATAAAATTCTTTTAGAATCCATGGTTTGAGTAGAATTCCATGTATTCCTATACCCAAAAGGAGGAAATTCTGAATTTGTTTACACCGTCTCACATTTAAATCAGTAGTTCTCAACCAGGGATACATGTACCCCAAAGTACACAAAATTCTTCCAAGGGACACTTCAATTCATCTAGATATTTGCCTTGTTTTGCAAAGAGCTACATAAAATGCACTGTGAAATCAGTAGAAACTAAAATTTCATACAATGACATGCTTATACTACTCTATATACTGAAATGTAAGTACAATATTTATATTTCCATTTATTTTACAATTATGGTAAAAATGAGAAA